AAAATGGGCAGTGCTCTTCCTCCCAAGCCTGCCGCCGTGCCCTGCCCCCGTCCCTGTGTTTTGGGGGGGGGTTGTATCAGTTTGAGGGCATCTTATCCCATGGTGCAGGAGGGAAATGGGCCCCACAAAAGGGCTGTGATGCCGGGCGCCCTCCAGGGCCATGGCACAGGGGACACCCAGGGTCCCTTCCCCGGTGGCAGGATGGGGTGATGGCAGAAAGCCACACAGTGCCCAGGGGATCAACCGCGGCATCCAGGGACGTCCCCAGATGCCTCCGCCATGGGGTGGGGAAGCCGATGCCATCTGGGGACTCGTTCGCCCCCATGAAGGGGCAGTGGAGCTGGGCTGGGGCTGGGCACCACTCCCCCTGCCGTCACCACTGATGCGGCATGAGGCTGCCGGTGGCACAAAGTTGCCCATGGCAGTGCCATTTTGGGGGCAAACCGATGCTGTGAAACTTCCCATAGGAGCCAGGGGACACATCCGGGCAGTGCAACCATTGGGGCAGAGAAAAAGGGGTTTGGGGGGGAGACTTCTGAATTTTTGCGATGATTTTTCGGTCAGGGCTCCTCCGAGACACAAGAGATGATCACACAGGATCTTAGCTCATCCGCTTGCTGTCTCATGCCTGGGAGGTTTGGCCGGGGGCCCGAGGGCTCCGGAGGAGGAGGAAAATTTCATCATCCTGCTCCAACGTCTCCTGTATAATCAGCCTCTTGTTAACCGATACGGCCCCATGCGAGACACTTGCGGAGGACCGGGGCACTGGTGGAGCCTTAGGTGGTCTTGGCCCCGGCAGAGTTTTGCTGAGCCTCTCCCAGGGCTGCCTGGGAAGCGGCTGCAATTTTATCTGTCCCCCCCCCTGCCCTCCGCCGCACACACTCGCTCACCTCCCTCTGCCTCTTCCCAACCGGCTTCGGCTTCGGCGTTTCCCCATAGCCCCAGGCATGGCCAGAGTTGCCAGAGTGTGGCTCCCTGCACCGCCACGCTCCCCCATGCCGTGGTGGTCCCCATGCCGTGACGGTGCCCACACCATGACGGTCCCCATGCCATGATGGTCCCCATGCTGTTATGGTCCCCGCACCATGATGGTCCCTATGCCATGATGGTCCCCATGCTGTTATGGTCCCCACACCATGATAGTCCCCATGCCGTGATGGTCCCCATGACATGATGCTCCCTGCACCCTGATGCTTCCCATGCCATGATGATCCCCACACTGTGATGTTCCCCACACCATGAGGGTTCCCACACCATGAGGGTCCCCACCCCACCATGCTCAATGCACCGTGATGCTCCTCGCACCCTCCCAGCACTTTTGAACAGGTGGAGAGTGTCTATTTAAGCACCCCCCCAGGGAAAACACCTTCGCGGTCAGCATTCCTACAGGAGATGGGAAGGGAAGAAAGAGCGAAGGGACAGGGGGCAGTGACCCCCGGCCCGCAGCAATGCTTGAGGGGTTTTTGGGGGCAGCCCCCAGGTGTTTCGGGGGAGAAGCAGAGTTGTTTGAGAGTGCGCGCAAAGTGAAGCCAGCAAAGAAGCGCCCAACACAGTCCATTTCTCTTGGTTTATTTAAAAAAAGGGGGGAAAGAAGTATAAAAAAATAAATATTTAAATAGAATTCTATATATATATTACCACAAATCTTATTAATAATTATTATTAATTATTATTATTAATAATAACATTATTAAAAGTCAGGTCAGAGCACTCGGTGCATGCTGGGCTTTCCACCGAGGCAATAAATAACCCTCGCAGCCCGCTCTGGTGCCAGGAGCGAGCCAGCGCCTCCTGCCTGGGGCCCGTTCCTGCGTCCCCACGCCCCCATGTCCCCGTGTCCCTGTGTCCCTGCGTCCCCGCGTCCCCGCATCCCCGCTCTGGGGCCACGTGTGGCCGTGTGAAGCCCAGCCCTTGGCCACTAGTACATTCAGAACCCTTCCGATGGGAAAAGCACTTTTCCAAAGGGGAGGGATGGGCCCTCCACACCCCACTGTGCCCACGCAGGGGGGACAATGCTTGGTCCCCAGCAGGTGGCCTTATCTGAGACGGCGGGACCCAGCCCCAGCCGCTGCGGCCACCCCAGTACCTTCAGTTCGGTTCCTTGTGGGGGAGCCCAGCCCCAAAATGTGCAGGGGAGTGTGTCCCTGTGTCCCCATGTCCCTGCCAGCCGCAGCATTGCAGTGTCCTTCATCCTAATCCTTTTTCCAGTGTGGTGGTGGCTTTCAGATGATGCTCCAGGATGTCCATTGGGTCTCTCTCCATGATGGAGGAGACCGGCCATGGGGGACAGAGTCCGGCTGCGCCGCCAGCCCCTTGCAGCACCCACAGCTCCCTGCACCCCCTGGGGGGGCGGGGA